CTGCTTATGTCGCCCTCTCTGTCTCTGTCTCTGTCTCTGTCTCTCTCTCTCTCTCTCTCTCTGTCTCTCTCTCTGTCTCTCTGTCTCTCTTTCTGTCTTAAGGGACCTCCTACTTTCTCTAATTGTTTGGTTGCCTCCTTCTGCTGTCTCTTTTCTGTCTCTCTTTTTTGCTGCTGTCTTCTTTCTGTCTTCTCTCGATATCTCTGTCTTATTTATCTCTTTTCTTTCTTCTGTCTCTCTCTCTCTCCCTCTCTCTCTCTATATATATATATAATATATATCTATCTCTATATCTTTGCGTGTATGTGTTTGCGTCTGTCTCTGTCTTTGTCTTTCTCTTCATCTGTCTCCTTTCTCTTTCTCTGTCTCTTTCTTTGTCTCTTTCTGTCTCCTCTTTTTATTTGTTTATTGCATGCAGACCTCAACAGAAGCGGGTGCCCCAGCAGGAATAGAGAGAGGTTTATTGAGTATATCTTCATACATAGCCGCGGGGTCTTCACTGTAGAAAGGAGTCTTCCTAAACAATCAAGAAGAGACAGAATATACATCTTTTCTTTCTTTCTTTCTTTGTTTTGTTTGTTTGTTTGTTTCTTTGTCTCTTTGTTTGTTTGTTATGTATATATATATATATATATATTATACAATATACTGTATATAATATAAAATAGTTACATATAAATATTATATATGTGCATATATATATATATATATATTTAACAAACAAACTTTGTCTTGTCTCCTTTTGTCTCAGCTGCGTTTTATTATGTCTTTTGTTTTTTATTTTGTTTTTCTCTTTTTTAATTCTCCTCTATCCTCTCTGTTTTATTTGCTTCTATCTTTGTTTATCTACACCAATATGCAGCAACACCGGGAGACCGCCAGAGCAGCAGCAGCAACAGCAGCAACAACAACAGGAACAGCAGTGGAAGCAGCAACAGTAATCGCAGCAGTAGCAGCAGCAGCAGCAGCAAAAGCAGCACAAACAGAAGCGAGGAAAGGCAATGCCAAGAGCTGCAGCAGCAGCAGCAGCAGCAGCAGCAGCAGCATTTGCAGTAACAGCAACGTGAAGAAACCAGCAGCAGCAACAGCACAATCAGCAGCAACAGCAGCAACAGCAGCAACAGCAACGGCAACAGCAACATCGGCACAAACAACAACAGCAGCAGCAACAACAACAGCAACACCAGCAGCAGCAACAGCATCATCACCGGCACCAACATCAACAGCAGCAGCACAACCATCAACATAATCTTCAGCAACAGCAGCAGCATCAACATCAGCACCAGCATCAACAGCATCAGCAGCAGCAGCATCAGCAACAGCATCAGCAGCATCATTAGCATTAGCATCAGCAGCAGCAGCAGCAGCAGCAGCATGAGCATCAGCATCAGCATCAGCAGCATCATTAGCATTAGCAGCAGCATCAGCAGCAGCACCATTAGCACTAGCAGCATCACTAGCATCATTAGCATCAGCATCAGCACCAGCAGCAACAGCAGCACCAGCAGCAGCAACAGCAGCAGCAGCAGCAGCAGCAGCAGCAGCATACCAGAAGACGAGCTCATGAAGGAGTATTCCGAATGCCCAGGCATCGCTGCAGAAGTGCTGTCCCTTTCTAAGAAGTGTCTCCGGAGGCATATATTCGCTCGTCCCGCACAATGTGCAGCTCCGCTCGTTATCAGCCTCTATGCTCATCTCAAGGGGGGCCCCCAATGGTGGGGGCCCCATTGGTATATCCACTGGCAAATTAGAACTCACTGCTGCTGCTGCTGCTGCTGCTGCTGCTGCTGCTGCTGCTGATGCTGATGATGCTGATGATGCTGATGATGTTGCTGGAGTTGCTGTTGCTGATGCTGCTGGAGATGCTGTTGCTGGTTCTGCTGCTCCTGCTGCTCCTGTACGCGAACTAACGACACCTTCACCCGCTGCCCTTGCTGCTGCTGCTGCTGCTTGTGCGCCTATTGCTGCTGCCACTGCAGCAGCAGCTGCTGCTGCTGCTGTTGCCGGCTGAGATGCAGAAGAGGCCCCACCGTCCACTGCGTTGGTTAGGGACGCCTCCAGCACTTCCTCTGTGCAGCAGCGAGAAGGAAGGAGACAGGCAACAGCCGCAGCAGCAGCAACAGCAACAGCAACAGCAGCAACAGAAGACAGCAGCAGCAGCAGCAAAGGACAAGACACAAACCCAGCCAGCGGTATCTTCAAGCGCAATTGGGGCAACGCAACACCGCGCCTGTCACTGCAGGAGCAGCAGCAGCAGCAGCAGCAGCAGCACCTGTTGCAGTAGCAGCAGCACCTGTTGCAGTAGCAGCAGCACCTGTTGCAGTAGCAGCAGCAGCTGTTGCTGCTGCTGCTGATAGCTCACTGTCTCTTTCTGGAGGGTGTATTAAGGCGGCTCTGTGCTGTGTCGCGTAGGGAGGTGTCTCCGTAGGGCCTGCAGCAGAATGAGGGAAGGAGATTGCTGCTGCTGCTGCTGCTGCTGCCGGTGTTGCTGCTGCTGCTGCTGTTGCTGGTGCTGCTGCTGCTGTTGTTGTTGGCTTGCGTGTTTATTAATACAATGCGTCTCCTTTATTTTAATTATATTTATTATATACTTCTCTACTTGTCTGACAGTTTATTCCTGTAGTGTTGCTGCCTCTGCTGTTTGCTGCTGTTTTGTGTCTCTGTCTCTGCAGCACGAGGCCCCTTTTGCTGCTCTGTGTGTCTCCTTTATCCTCCTCTTATTCGCAGTCTTCTTGGGCGGCAACTGTCTCCTTTCTGTCTCCTTATCTCTTTTATGTCTCTGCTGTCTCTGTCTCCTTTCTGTCTCTACCTCTGTTTCTCTCTCTGTCTCTCTTTCTTTTTTTGTCTCTTCCTCTGTACGTGGGTCTCTTTCTTATGTTGGTTTTGCTGTCTATTTGTCTCCTTTGTTTGTTTTTTGTCGGTTTGTCTCTTTGGCTGTCTCCTTATCGTTGTCTATTTACTTCCTTTCTGCTTTTTGTGTTTGTTTCTGTCTCTTTTATGTCTCCTCCTGCCTATATATATATACATATATATATATATCTATATATATGTATATTTATAGATATACATATATATATACATATATATATATATGGTGCCTCTATTTGTTTTTTGCCTGTCTCCTTGAGGTGTGTCCTCCTTGTTTTATATTTGTTTATCTCTTTATTCTGCTGTCTCTGTCTCCTCTCTTTTTCTTTGTTTGTCTCTCTCGCCTGCTACCTGTGTCTGTCTCTTCTTGTTAATATTAATTTTATATAAATTGTCTCCTTTCTTTCTTCTTCGCTCTGTTGCTGTCTCCATTCTGCTGTCTCCTTTAAAGTTTTTCTGAGAATCTCAGTGCAAGGGCCCCTAAAGTGCTGCAGGCTCTGCTGGTGGGGTTGTTGTACTGTAGTAGTAGAAGGGCCCCTACTGTCTCCTCTGTACCCTATGGGGGCCCCCTTACCTGAACGCTTTCTTTTATCTGTCTCCTCTTTATCTGTTATTGTCTCGTCTAGCAGTATAGACACCCAGCTTTCTCTTCCAAGGGGCCCCTCAAGGGGCCCCTCTCTTAGGGGCCCCCCTCCAGTACCCTCTTGAAGTGGGGGGGCCCCCCTGCTGCTGCTCACAGAGGACAGCCACACCGGGGCGGCCCCCATGGGTACTTTTGATAATGAGGGGGCCCCCGGAACCAAACCCATAGAAGAGCGCACCCCCCACTCAGCAGGGGCCTCTGAAGGCTCTCTTTCTTCTTCTCGGAAGTGCTGCTGCTGCTGCTGTTGCTGCTGCTGCTGTTGCTGCTGCTGCTGTTGCTGCGATTGGGCTCCGTCTATGACGCCATAGTTTCCGAGGGAGAGGCAGCGAGGTAGGGGGGCCCCTACAGCTTGCTGCTGCATGGGGCCCCCCCCTGGTACCCATATGGAGCCTCCTGTACCTAGTGTGAGTTGCTGCTGTACAGGGGTTGAGGGGGCCCCTTGGGGGCCCCTCTCGTTGAGTAGAGAAGCAGCAGAAAAGGGTGTCTCTGCGCTGAAGGAGTTATATCCATTTAGTTGTCTCTGTTGCTGTAACTCTTCATGTAGTTGCAGGACCCTTCTTGTTGTGCTTCCTTGAGAGCAGCTGTCTTCAGAGGGGCCCCCAGGGGGCCCCCCTCCAGTTGGGGAGCCCCCGTGGGGCCCCTCTCCTAGAAGGGCCCTAAGGGGCCCCCCAGAAGGGGGTGTTTGCTGTATAGAGGGGCCCCAATACCCTTCTAATGAAGCTGCTTCAAGAGGCGGTACTGAAGATAATGAGCCGGAGTCTAGCCAGCCTGAAGCTGTTGCTCTCGTTGTGCATTCACCAAGGGGGCCCCCATCTATAAATCTATTGGTGGGGGGCCCCCCTTGACCCTGTAGTCGCTTAAGAGACAACGCAGGAAGCAGCACTGCACATACACCGCAGCAGCAACAAAACAAAACAATCATACTGCTGCTGCTGCAGCACAAAAAATAACAGCACAAGCAGCAGCAGCAGCAGCACAAACAGCTGCTGCAGCACAATCAAGCAGCAGCGGAAACAGCAGTAGCACAAGCAGCTGCAGCAGCATCAATCAGAACCAGCAACTGCAACAGCATCAGCATAAGCAACAGCAAACGCAACACAAGCAGCAGCAGCACAAACAGCAGCAGAACAAGCAGCAGCATCCTCCTCCAGCAGCAGCAGCAGCAGCAGCAGCTCGTCGCGATAGGTGCATGCGTTACCCCCTTCACTTCCTGTCTCTTCTTCTGTCTCTCCGATTTCTTTTAAGTTTTCTTTTAGAACCTCCACGGGGCTGTTTATTTCTTCTATCTCTGCAGCAGAACCTTTAAAGATAGGGGTGAGGGGGGCCCCCTGATCGAAGGGGCCCCCCCCCTGCATATTTCCCTTCAGGGCATCTGCTGCAGCAGTAGCTACAGCAGCAGCTGCAGCAGCAGGTGCAGCAGAAGCTACAGCAGGAGCTGCAGCAGCAGGTGCAGCAGCAGATGCAGCAGCAGTTGCAGCAGCAGATGCAGCAGCAGATGATATTAAAGGGCCTTTGTGGGGTGTCTCCGTAGGAGCAGCAAAGCTTTCAGCAAAGAAAGAAAAAGAAGAAGCAAGAGACTGCTTCATAGTAGCAGCAAGACATGCAGGATGATCGCAGGGGGGGGCCCCCCTTTGGGGGGCCCCCAATATAAAGGGTTTTGCTGCTTCTATTTGTTTAGCAAAGCCAAAGTCTACTACTTTTATATGCCCGTCTCTTGCTATTAGAATATTTTCAGGCTTGAGATCCCTGTACAGCACACCTAGACCTGCGTATACACCCCAAAGGAGACACTTCGTCCGGAGGGTTTATATGTATATATGTATATATGAAAGACAGAGAGAGACAGAGACAGAGACAGAGACAGAGACACAGAGACACATAGATAGATGGAGACAGATAAACAGATAGAGACAGATAGACAGATAGAGACAGATAGATAGAGACAGATAGATAGATAGAGACAGATAGATAGATAGAGACAGATAGATAGATAGGGACAGATAGATAGAGACAGATAGATAGACAGAGACAAATAGATAGATACAGATATATAGATAGAGACAGATAGACAGAGACAGAGACAAATGCAGATACAGAGATAGGGGCAGAGACAGAGACAGACAGAGATATAGAAAGAGACAGAGACAGCAAAAGAGATATAGAAATAGAGACAGGGGTAGACATAAAGAATTACAGATAGAGACGGAGACGAATTCCGAGCAGGATTTGCTGCTGCGCTTGCTGCTGCTATTCCTGCTGTTGCTGTTGCTGTTGCTGTTGCTGCAGCTACATCTGGTGCTCGTGCCCGTGCTGCTGCTCCTGCTGCTGTGGCTGCCTGTGCTGCTTCCGCTACAGCTGCTGGTCTTGCTGCTGCTGCTACTCTTACTGTTACTGCTACTCTTGCTGCTGCTGCTGCTGCTGCTGTGGAGGCTCTATCTACTGCTCTTTCTGCTGCTTTTGCCGCTGCTGCAGCGCTTGCTGCTACTGTTGCTGTTGCTGTTGCTGCTGCTGCTGCTTTATCTATTGCTCTTGCTGCTGCTTTTGCCGCTGCTGCAGTGCTTCTGTTGTTGCTGCTGCTGTTGCTGCTGCTGCTGCTGCTGCTGTTGCTGCTGTTGCTGCTGCTGCTACTGCTGCTGCTGTAAGTTGGTGCTTACTGTGTACATACAGCAGGGCAACCAGCACTTCGCCCGAATAAAAGCGAACAGCTTCCAGGCGGAGGGAACCTTTGCGACTGACAGCAGCACAACACCCAAGGGTTTAGGGTTTAGGGTTTAGGGTTTAGGGTTTAGCCTCAGAACTGGAGGAGAACTGCGGGGTAGAAGTGCAGAGACAAATAAATAGAGACAGTAGCAAAGGAGACAGAAGAATAGAGACAGAAAGGAGACACACGATGAAAAAGAGACAGAAAGAGACAGTAGAGAGGAAGAGACTGGAGATGTATGAGAAAGAACATAAACCTAAACCCTAAACCCTAAACCCTAAACCCTAAAAGGAGGCATTAAAAGCAATGCTGCCGCTTGCTCTGCATACTTAAGAAGAGAAAATAATTCGCCGCCCCCAACAAACTCCATCAACAAAAACAAATGCGTCCGGGTTTGAAAGGTTGTGAACCTGAACATAAACCCTAAACCCTAAACCCTAATCCTTAAACCTTAAACCCTAAACACTCAACCCTAAACCCTAAACCCTAAACCCTAAACCCTCGAGGACTGACTCGAAAAGGCTGTGCCTTGTTTCTTTGAAACTTCTCTCTCTAAAAGGTATTTACGTCCGCTGCGGTGTCTGGACAGCCTTGGGGTTTAAAGCTTAGGGTTTAGGGTTTAGGGTTTAGGGCTTAGGGTTTCAACTGCAGGATTTAGGGTTTAGGGTTTCAGGTGTAGTGCTTAGGGTATACTGTTTAGGATTTACAGTTGAGGGGTTTATTTTTTGGGTTTAGGGTTTCGGGTTAATTAGGGTTTAGGGTTTAGGGTTCAGCGCTTAGGGTTTAGGGTTTAGGATTTAGGATTTAGGGTTTAGGGTTTAGGGTTTAGGGTTTAGGGTTTAGGGTTTGCACAGGTTGACGACGAGGGGGTGGTTCATTTGTCGCAGTATTCTCCTTTCATTCAGGACATGGGTTTGTTGCTTCACTTGAAGAATTTGTGTTTTTCTTAATCTCTTTATTGCGAACGGAGTTTGCTCTAGGGCCTTCCTAATGCTGCAGCAGCAGGGGGGCCCCTCACGATATCCTGGGGGCCCCCCTAAACTTTCATCATTTACACAACTTGCATGAGCCCCTTCTGCTTCGCGGGCCTTCAAACGGGTTATAAACACACGCCCTAGGGTCCCAGTTCCTGAATACGCAAACAACAACCGTTTAGGGTCTAGGGTTTAGGGTTTAGGGTTTAGGGTTTAGGGTTTAGGGTTTACGGGATAGGTTTGGGGTTTAAGGGGTAGTCATAGACTTGGGGTTTAGGTATTAGGGTATAGGGTCGCGGTTTAGTGTTTACAGCCTAAGGGTGAGGATCTAAGGCTTAGAGTTTAGGGTTTAGGGTTTAGGGTTTAGGGTTTAGGGTTTGGCGAAACAAGCTGCAATCACGTAGAACCGGAAATCTCAGGGCAGGTTTGGGGGGATTAGGGTTTAGGGTTTAGGGTTTAGGGTTTAGGGTTATCTATTCTGTTGTCTTACCCACAGTTCTGATGAACGTGAAGTCTTGCGGGCCCCAAGAAGAAGCAGCAAAGAAAGCCTTCTGCTCCTCGATAGAAGGGCTCTGCTGCTGCTGCTGCTGCTGCTGCTGCAGCGGCAGAGAAGAAGCATTCCATCTACGTTGTTGCTGCAGCAGACAACATGTATCGAGTGTAGCTGCAGGGGGCCCCCATAGGGGCCCCCCCTCTAGACTTCCGGCTTGTTGAGCATTTATGAGGGCCCCCTCAGAGGGGGCCCCCTTGCATGCAGCAGCACTGTCTCTTTCTCCTTTTAGGGGGCCCTTCTCGGAAGCTAGGGGCCCCCTTTCTGGGTCTTCTTGTGAGCTGTACCCTTCACGAGATGCCTCTGAGGGGGCCCCCTTCTTGTCTTGAGGGCCTCCACAAGAAGAAGCAATTAAAGTAACAGCGCTGAATTGCATAGGATTAAAAGCCTCTGCTCCGCATAGAAGGGTATCACTGGGGGCCCCAATATATTCGGGGGCCCCTAAAGCCTTCCCTAAAGGCGTGCTGCTTCCTCCAGTACTTAGATAGGGGCCCCCACGTGCATCCGTGTTCGTGCTTCTGCTGCTGTTGCTGCTGCTACTGTTGCTGCTGCTGTTGCTGCTGTTGCTGCTGTTGCTGCTGCGCTCAAAGCCAGGGCCCTCCAAGCTACCCCTTCGCGGTGTTATGCAGCCGCATGCTTCGGGTGTCTCCGGTGGTTCGGCTGCAGTTGGGGGCCCCCCAGGGGCCCTCGGGGCCCTCAAAGCCCCTGGGGGCCCCTCTTTGCTGCTGCTTGCTTGTGTACAAATGCCCTTGGGGTTGCTGCAATTTCTTGCTGCTTTGAAGGCTCTCTTTAATCGTATAACAGCTCTAAAACTCTTGTAGAGGGCCCCCAAGACAGTCTCCCCTGAGTCACGTGCAGCAGTACCCTTAGCTGGGGGGGCCCCCAGCAGGGGGCCCCCCGGAGGTGAGGGTAGAGCAGGAGGGCAGCAGCGCTTTCGCTGGTGGCTGCGGCCGCATCGAAGAGAATGAAGGGCTGATACTGCTGCTGCTGTTGCTGCTTCTTCTGCTTCTTCTTCTGCTGCTGCTGCTGCTGCTGCTGCAGTAGGGGCCCCTTCAGAGGCATCATTGCGAGATAAACGTCTGCAAGGCAAAGAAGACGAGGCCCCCAAACGGTTGCTGCTGCTGCTGCTGCTGCTGCTGCTGCTGCTGCGGCTGCTGCTGCTGCTGCTGCTGCTGCAGGGGCCCCCGCACTCTTTGCTGCTGCAGCGGCAGCACGAGAGAGAAGGAGATTCCGGCGTTTGACGAGGGGCCTTAGAAGAGCGCTTGGAGACTGCTGCTGCAGCAGCACTGCTGCTACTGCTGCTGCTTCTGCTGCTGCTAGTGCTGGTGCTTCTGGTGTTGTTGTGCATCAGCAACGAAGACAGAAGAAGCTTGCTGCGGCCTGCAGGTTTAGGAGAAGCTGAAGCCTTTGGGGGGCCCCTGGGTGTGGGGGCCCCAGAGCGTAGCAGAGACAAAGAAGGCGTTGCTGTACCCTCCATCAGTGCTGCTTTAAATTTAGGGGGGCCCCCCTGTATTAGCTGTTGCTGTGCTTGATGCCGTCCTTCAATGTCTGTCTCTCTCTCTTTTGTCTCCTTCGTCCTTCTGTCTCTCAGCAGCAGGAGACAGAAGGAAGAACAGAGACACTTAGATTTGTCCGGGGAGGAGGGGGCCCCTCAGGGGAGCGCAATAGGGGGGCCCCCCATTCTCTTAGGCGGCGACAGCCTGAGGTTATGGGGGGTCTTGCGGTGTACGTACACCTCAAGGGGCCCAGCGAGAGACATGCGCTCGCCTCCTCTATACTCTCTGCTCTTAGTAGGTGCCTATACACCCCGAGGAATACAGTCAGCAGGGCTGGAGCTCGCAGCAACGACAGGAAACGCCAGCAGCAGCAGCAGCAGCAGCAGCAGCAGCAGCACGCCTTCCCATGGGCGTCTGCTTCAACCCTAAAGACAAACAATGAACAGAGCAGCAGCAAACAGCAACACCTCGGGGGGTCCGTTATAAGGGGGGGGATCCTAAAGAAGGAGTGGGACTGTTTAGGGTTTAGGGTTTAGGGTTTAGGGTTTAAGGTTTAGGGTTTAATTTTATTACCTGTCTCTATATCTCTATAGACAGTACATCTCTTCTCACTGCTCTTTGTTATAGAGCTTCCTGGGCGAGGGACCCGGGTGTAGAAGAAGAGAGCAAATATATTGCGCAAAATAAAGAAAAAGAGGGTTTTAATAGCTTTATTTAATCCTAAAAAGTCTCTAAAAACAATAGAAATAGAAGTTTACAGTGCAGGAAGGCCCCCCTATATATATAATATAATATATATATTATATATACACCGGGGTCACTGAGAGAGAGAGAGGCAGGGAGATGAAGGGGAGATAGAGGGTGTTTGTTTGTGTTTTCTTTGATTAAATTTAAATAAAAATTAATAAATAAATATATTTTAGCCTTTTATTTCTTCTTTTTATCGTTATTTTCTTAGCATTACAATACACACATAACGCACAAACTCACCCGACAAACGCTCTAAGATGTCTAGATAAAGATAGGCAGCTCAGTATACACCGCAGAAATAAACACAATTATTTAAATATTTATTTGTATTTATTCTTTTTTCACAACTACACCTTCGTCCCCCTCAATTATCCTACCTGCCTATACACCCCACACCACTTGCAGCCAGCTGCTACGCAGGGGGACCTAAACGATACAACATTTCTTCTGTCTCTTCAGGGGCCCCTGAGGGCCCCTATGAGTCTTTAAGGGTCTTAGGGGGCCCCCAGAGGGCCCCACAAGGCTTCTAGGGGCCTCCTGAGGGGCCCCTAAAGGCTTCTGAGTGACCCTAGAGGGGCCCCAGATAACAGGCTGATTAGATAAGGGATGAAGCGTAAAGAACAAATTCAAATGATAATAACTTTCGTCTCTTTCTCTTCCTTTTTATGTCTACCTACTGTACACAGCAGATGCACTTCGTAGAGCTCTGTAGCTAGCTGTAGCTAGCTACAGCTAGTTACTAGAACCTCTCAGTGGGGTGTATGATTTGGGGCTGGGCCGGAAGTGAGACAGCTAGCCATAGCTAGCTATAGCTAGCCCTAATTATGTGTAGCTAGCCGTAGCTGGCTCTAGCTATCTGCAGCTAGCTAGCTGCAGCTAGCTGTAGCTAGCTGTAACTAGCGGTGTGGGAGACCTGTTCGCTGAGCAGCATTCGCTTGTTGTTTTTTTTTTGTAATTATGTATATAATTTATATATGCATTAATCATAGGTGTGTTTTATACATATATATTTGTCTATATATATATGTATATATATGTATATATATATATATATATATATACTTTTTTATGTCTTATGTTAATATTTATATGGGTTTGTGCGTAGTGCGACCGTCTCCGTTGTCTCTGCCTTAGTTATTTGTTTTTTCTTTGTTTGTTTCTCCCCGTAACAGACAATAAAATTAATTATATTATAGCTGCAGCTAGCTGTGCACAGTTAGCTAGCTATGCGTGGCTAGCTAGCTAGCTATGTGCAGCTAGCTGGCTATGCACAGCTAGCTACGTATTCGCCCCTAGCTAGCTAGAATCCACTAGCTAGCCATACCCTAGTAGTTAGCTAGTCACTGCTAGCTAGTTCTTCACAGCTAGCTAGAAACCGATTCACGGCTAGCTAGCTATGCACAGTTAGCTAGCTAGACGCAGCTAGCTAGGTAGCTACTCGTCGCTAGCTACGGTTAGCAGCATACAACCCTAGCACGGCTATCGGAGATGAAAGGAAGAACACGGTAGGGGACATGCAGCAGCAGCAGCAGCAGCAGCAGAAGCAGCAGCACCAGAAAAGAGCTCCCACTATATTAATGTATTTGTTTCAATGCGTCTTGCTGCTAAGTTGAGGTGTATGTACACCTCATGAGGTGCACATACACCTCAACGCATGCGCCGAGACCCCACAAGGCTGCGGAGGGAGAAGGTCCCCGCAAAACCCTCAGGGGGTAGTGGGGGCCTCGCAGCGCCAAGTCTTACGGGTGTTGCTGCAGCAGCAGCAGCAGCAGCTGCTGCTGCTGCTGCTGTTGCAGGCGCTGCTGCTGCTGCTGTTGCTGCTGCTGTTGCTGCTGCTGCTGCACTCCGTGCAATAGAGGGGGCTTCACGACTCTCCTGTGCTGCTGTCTGCAGCAACTGCAAGTGTGTGTTATTCTCTTTTTCAGGTGTACAGACCCTGGGGGCCCCTTCTATATGAAGGCCTGACTCCAGGGGCCCCTCCTTGTGGGGCCGCCCCTGACCCTGCTGCACCTCCTGCTGCTGCTGCTGCTGCTGCTGCTGCTGCTGCTCGGGGGAGCCTATCTCTGGAGTAGGTGATGATGAATCTGTTAAGAGAGATGTAAGAGAAAAACAAAAAGAAGACGGGCGTCGGGTGTATGGGTACGACGATGAAAACAAAGAAGAGTCTGACAAAGAAGCACCAACTGAGCTGCGACGTGGGGCCCCCGGACCCCCTCTGCTGCCTGCAGCAGCAGCTGCTGCAGAAGCTGCTGCTGCTGCTGCTGCGGGGCCCCCCCCCTCTCCTGCCAACGTTGAGCCCACGTGCAGCTGCGCACAAACAACAAACCCTAAACCCTAAACCCTAAACTGCGCACTAACCCCAAACCCCAAACCCTAAACCAAAGACCCTAAACTCTAAGCCCTCAACCCTAAGCTGTGTACAAACCCTAAACCCTAAACCCCAAACCCTAAACCCTAAACGCTGCAGACCCACCTGCTGCAGCCTGCTGAGAACAACCCGCTCGTCCGTCTCCGGCATTACGCGGCGATGAAAGAAAGCAGCGAAACGTAGCTGCGCAGACACCACAAACCCTAAACCCTAAACCCTAAACCCGAGACATGATGCAGCAGCAGCAGAACAAAGACAGGAAACGCTCGCACAGAGACAAATAACAAGTGAGGGCACCTCATCACTTGACTAGTAACGCAACGCACAAACCCTAAACCCTAAACCCTAAACCCTAAACCCCAAACCCCAAACCCTAAACCCTAAACCCTAAGTCATACCAGCATTTGCCGCTTCTCTGAGAGAGCCTTCAGCAGCTTCCTTGCATTATACGCTTGCAGAACCATCTGCAGCAAACCATAACACTAAACCCTAAACCCTAAACCCTAAACCCTAAACCCTATACCCTAAACCCCAAACGCCAACCCCTCAGCCCTAAACCCTAAACCCTAAACCCTAAACCCTCTAATAAGGACCTGTGACTCGATCTTCCGGAGGTGTTTTCTGTTGGTAGCAAGAGCAGCTTGCTTCGCCTGCTGCAGCACCCCCGTCTCCTCTGCAGCAGCAAAGGCCTCCGCCTGAGCAGCAGACATAAAAGAAAGATTTTGCTGTCTCCAGCAGCTAAACCCTCAACACCCCCTAAACCCTTCACAGACAGCAGCGACTCGTTAGGGTTTAGGGTTTAGGGTTTAGGGGAGAGGCATCCTCTGGTGCTAGACTACATCAACATGATGCCCCTGCTGCTTCTGCTTTTGCTGCTGCTATTCCTTTTGTTGCTGCTGCTGGTGCTGCTGCTGCTGCTGGTGCTGCTGCTGCAAGGTACCTGAAGCTGCTGCAGCGTCCTCGGCTGGTGTCTCCCCCAATCGACAGTTTCTTCTTCTGTCTCCTCTTTGTCTTCTACGTAAACAAAAGGCAAGCAGCAGCAGCAGCAGCAGCAGCAGCAGCTCCGGTGTACGTACGCCTCAGCGTAGAGGGCCACCATGAGCCCGCAACGCTAAACCGTAAACCCTAAACCCTAAACCCTAAACCCTAAACCCTAAACCCTAAACCCTAAACCCTAAACCCTAGTGGAAAACCCTCAATACTTCAACTTACTTTCAGGTACAGCGCGGGGTTTGTCCGGGGAAGGAGACTCAGGAGGAAACGAGAGAAGCAGCCTTCGTGCTGCTGCAACCTCCTGCAGCCGCCTGCAGCAGCAGCAGCAAGAGCAGCAGCAGCAGCAGCAGCAGCAAACTGGTCTCTAGTTAGGGTTTGTGCTTTCTTGCAGGTGGTGAGGAGTCAAACAAACAGAAAGACGACTCTCCTTGCTGCTGCTAGTGCTGCAGCTGCTGCTGTTGCTGCTGCTGCTGCTGCTAATGCTGCTGCTATTGCTGCTGCTGCTGCTGCTGCTGCTGCTGCTGCTGCTGCTGCCTTACTTAGATGTAGCCGCGTGTAGAGACACCCAGTGGCCTCTCCACTGTACAACGCGTTGCTGCAGCAGCAGAAGCAAAGAAAAAAACAAAATAAATAAATAAAATTATTAATAATCAAATAAACATAAAACAAACAAACAAATATATAAATAAATATATACATAAAATAAAGATATAAGCAAACCACAGAGTAAACAAATAAAAGCATCTATAAAATAAACAGATAAATATAAATAAATAAAAAACCAGCAGCGAAAGACAGAAGAAAAACGTAAAAAATAAATAAATAAATAAATAAATAACAACATAAAACAAAATAAACAAACATAGAATAAAATAAAACAAAATAAAAGAGACAGCACCACAATAAGAGAGACAGAGAGAGAGAGATAAAGAGAGAGAGAGATAAAGAAGGTAAAAGAAGGGAGGAGACAGTTAAAAAGACAAGAGAGACAGCACACCAATAAGAAAGACTCAAGGGCAGCAGCACTTCCTTGCTGCTGCAGCAGAGATTTCTTCTGTCTCCTTTCTTCGTCTCTCTTTCTCTCTATGCTCTCTTCAACAGATATACGAAGGCCCTGAACCCGCTGCTGCAGCTCCTGTGCAGCAACTGCTGCAGCTACTTCAGCTGTACGTACACCCCAAACCCACACAGCAACAGCAACAGCAGCAGCAGCAGCAGCAGCAGCATTAGCAAAGTTCTGGAGCGCCGCTCCACAGAAAGCAGCAGCAGCAGTAGCAGCAGTAGCAGCAGCAGCAGTAGCAGCAGCAGCAGTAGCAGCAGTAGCAGCAGCACCAGCAGTAGCAGCATGAGCAGCAGCAGCCTGCTGAAAGTAGCAGCAGCAGCAGACTAAACAAACAGCAAATTGCTGAGGTGTATATACACCGCAGACATACCGAGAGTGCTGAGGGCCTCTGCCTTATGAGGAGATATCTGTTTGTTTTGCTGCATTTCTAACAGAGACAGCCGAGAAGCATCAAGGGTTGCTGCTAACACCTGAAAGGAGACAGAAGAAAAAGACTAAAGGAGACAAAACGCTGCAGACAGCAGCAACTGCTGATGCTGCAGCTGCAGCAACCGTACCAGCAGCAAACAGACAGCAGCAACGCAAGCAAACAGCAGCAACAGCAGCAGCAACAGCAGTTCAATGGGCACGCATACATATAAATATAAATAAATAAATATATATATATATATATAAAGCAGAAGGAGACAAACAAACACACAAGGAGACACTGCAGCAGCAGCAGGCATACACCCGACCTGCAATATGAAGTCTGCTGCTGCTGCTAATGCTCCACTTGCTGCAGCAACAGCATCTGCTCCTGCTTCCGCTGCTTCTCCTTCTGCTGCTGCGGGCGCTGCTGCTTCTCTTCGCAGCGCCGCTGCTGCTGCTGCTGCTTGGAGACCAGCAGCAGCAGCAGCGCGTGCTGCAGGCTGTATTCTAACAGCAGCAAGAGCAGCAGCAGCAGCATCAATTGCCAGAGGAGACTGCTGCTGGGGTCCCCGCAGCAGATTAGAGACACCTGAAATCAAACAAACAAACAAACAGCAGCAGCAGCAGCAGCAGCAAATAGGAAGCAGAAGAGACAGGAGACAGCATACAAAAGGCAGCAAAAATGAGAGACACCAAACAATAGATGAAAAAGAAGAGAGAAAAACAGCAGCAAACAAGCGGAGTGAGGAGACAGAGAAGAGACAGTAGAAGAGATAAAAATCAAACAAAGAGAGACAAACAACAAATAAGCAAAAGGAGACAGTAAACAAAACATAAACAGCGTACTCATTTTGAGGCCTTCTACAGAAGAAGAAGAGACAGGGGACCTCAGTGCAGTTTGCTGCTCAGCAGCTGCTGCTGCAGCCGCTGCTGCAGCAGGAAGTTCTACTAAAGGGCTGGGGGGCCCCCCCACCCCCTCAGGGGCCCCCGTCTCTTCCTGAGGGGGGCCCCCTTCTCCCTTCCAGGGCAGCCTCAAGACAGGGGGCCCCTTCCCTGCTGCTACAGCCTTTAGAGTTGCTTTTGCTGCTGCAGAAGATACAGCAGCAAGAACCTGCTGCGGCTGCTGCTGCTGCTGCTGCTGCTGCGGGGGGCCCCCACTGCCCTTACTTACAGGGGCCCCTGAAGGGAATGCAGCCTCTATGTACACTCCAGACACCGTTTGGGGGCCCCCATGCCCCTTGGGGGCCCCCCCCCCTTTTGCTGCTGCTGCAGCACCCCCTCCAACTACCTTCACCTCTTCACTCGCAGGAGGCGCTAACAGTGCAGCAAGCGAATCAAATGCAGGCAGCGGAGCCCTAGAAAAACGAAGGGAGGCCCCAAGGGGCCCCCCTCCCTGAGGGCCCCCTAGGGGCCCCCCTGCTTGAGGGCCCCCTAGGGGCCCCCCAACGTGAGAGCCCCCTAAGGACCCTCCAACATGAGGGGCCCCCAGGGGCCCCCCTCCCTGAGGGCCCCCAAGGGGCCCTCCGTCGAAGGGGCCCCCAGAGGGGAGTATAGAGGGAGAGCTTCTGAAAGAGCCTGGGGTAGCAAACGCAGCAGGGGGGCCCCCAGCAGCCTTGCCTACAGGGGGTTCCTGGGGGGCCCCTAAAGGCTGGGGGGGCCCCTCTAAATGCAGCACTGCTGCTGCTGCTGGGGTGTCTGGAGGGGCCCTCAGCGCCCCCACGAGGTGCGCGGGGGCCCTCAACGCATGTCTCTCTGTCTCTCTATACTGGGCCGGGAAGGGGGGCCCCTCCTGGGGGCCCCTATCCCTTGAACTACTTAGAAGGGGCCCCATGGAGGGGCCCCCATCTCCTGCTGCTGTTGCTGCTGCTGTTGATGCTTCAAACCCGCCCCCTACGGAGTCAACATTGATAACGGGGGGCCCCATAAAGGCTGAGGGGGCCCTCGGCAACGAAGAAGAGGGGCCCCAGGAGGTTGCTGCTGATGCAGGGGCCCCCAGGGGCCTCCTTACAGTTGCTCCCCTGGCCTCTATCCTATGCATAATGTTATGCTGCTGCTGCTGCTGCTGCTGCTGCTGCTGTTCTTGCATGGGAAAGCTGCAGTTCAGTTCTCTCGATGAATGCGGGTGTAGGAGCCGTTCGGGTGTATGGGGGGCCCCTAGGGGGGCCCCTGAGGGGGGCCCCCAAGGGGCCCCCGCAGGGGCCCCCTGAGCGTAACTCTGAGCCTGTGTGTCTCTTAGAGACAGTCTCCTTGCTTGAAGCCCCTTTAATGGCGAAGCCCTCGACAAAGGAGTATCGCTGCTGCTTCGTCTCCTGCAGAAACCCAGAGCAGGGGGCACCCCAGGGCCCCCTGGGGGCCCCCCAAAGAGGGCCTCCTCTGCTGCACGGTGTTGCATAGAGAAAGGGTTTCGATTATGAGCTACCCGGCCAGGGTTTGAGGGGGGGCCCCCAGGGGGCCCTAAGGAATAGGGGCCCCCCACTTGGGGGGCCCCCATATGGGGGGCCCCTACATGGGGGGCCCCTACATGGGGGGCCCCCATATGGGGGGCCCCTAGGGGGCCCCCTGGAGCTAAGGAGGGTAGACGGCTCCCAGGAAATGAAGAGAGAGGGGCAGAGGGATGCCTACAATAAAAAAACAAACAAAGACATAAAAAGATAACAGATAAATATATAGATAAGCAGCAACAAAGAGATATATAAATGAAGCTCTACCTGTAAGGATGCGTAGATCGGTAAGGGGGCCCCATGCCTAGGGTTTGCTGCTGTGCTGCATGCACTGGGGGCCCCTCTCCTGGGCTTGCTGCGGGTATTCTGGGGGCCCCCCAGGGGGCCCCCCGGCTGTCTGTAGGAAATGCATCTTGAGGGGCTTCGTGGGGGTATGGATTTGCTGTTGCTGCTGCTGCTGCTGCAGCAGCAGCAAACTGAACAGCTGCAGGGGAGGCGCAAGCTAAGAGGGCCCTAGCTTGGTTAAGAGGAACAAGTACGCAAGCTTCATCTGCTGCTGCTGCTGCTGTTGCTGCTGCTGCTGTTGCTGCACCGGGGCCTATGTTTAAGCCTTTGAGAGACGAAGAGGACGATGCTGCAGATCCATTAGAGACAGCAGGGGGCCCCTGAAGAGAGGGGGGGCCCCCTTCACCGCTGCTGCTAATAGAAAGGGGGCCCCAAGGGTGGCTGTGGGGGCCCCCCTCCCTCCCCTCTTCTCTACGCAGACGGCGCCCTGAAGGTCTTAAGGAGACCTGCCCACGTGAGGCCCCCCTCTTCTTCTGACGCTGCTGCTGCTGCTGCTGCTGCTGATGCTGCTGCTGCTGCTGGGGAGCAACAAGAGCTAGGATCTCATCTGCTGAGTAATCTGGAGGGCTGCGATCTCGCAGTCTCCTGCTACGCCTTCTGCTGCTGCGGGGGCCCTCATCTTCAAGGGGGGCCCCCTGGGGGGGCCCCCTGGGGGCCCCCAGGGGTATATCTCTTTCTGCATGCGAAGAGGCAGCAGCAGCAACTGAGTCAGGGTGGGGGCCCTCTCTGTGCTTGTCTTTGCGTTTGGGCTTGGTCAGCATTGTGCTAAACCCTAAACCCTAAACCCTAAACCCTAGCCCCCGGCGCGTCGCAGCTGGGGAGGGGGGGCCTCCTGAGGGTTTAGGGTTTAGGGTTTACAGTTTAGGATGGAGCTTTCTAAAGGGTTTATATAAATATGAATTTAAATTCTTTTTTTGCAATTCAAGCGCATGCAGACAGGTAGGAGGAAGAGGGGCGGCAACCCCCAAACCCTAAACCCTAAACCCTAAACCCTAAACCCTAGACCCCTGCAATTGTACACGGAGAAGGAGGAAACGCAGAATAGGGGAGACCATACAAAAATAAAAAGAAAAAGATATTTAAATTAATATAAATTTAAACAAAGACAGAAAATAACTGCATGCAGTTCGACAATAAGGGCTACTGGGGTGGTGATTGGACAGGGTCGGTGGCGGCTCTGCCACATAAACCCTAAACCCTAAACCCTAAACCCTAAACCCTAAACCCTAAACCCTAAACCCTAAACCCTAAAAAGCAAGCACTAAAATCTGAACTCTAAACCTAAAACTCTAGGGAATAAACTGCAAACGGCAAACCCTAAGAGCGAAGCCCTAAACCCTAAACCCTAAACACTAAACCCTAAACCCTACACCCTAGACCCTAAACAATAAACACTAAACCCTAAACAATGAGCACTAAACACTACACCCTAAGCAGTAGACAATAAACCCTAAGCCCTAAACGTTACAGCGAGACCCTAAAACCTAAACCTCCAACCCTAATTTTCTAAACCCTAAACCCTAAACCCTAAACCCTAAACCCTAAACCCTAAACCACCATAGAAAAGACCACAGCGAGCAAAAAATTAACAAGATACTGCAACAAATAATACCCTAAACCCTAAACAAACCCTGGAAATGTGGATTGCAAACCCTAAACCCTAAACCCTAGGCTCTACACCCCAAACCCTAAACCCTGAAGTCTCTCCTGCAACCGGGCGAGATAAAGCACTTCATTAAGTAAAAATTATCTAAAGATCTTTCGCTGCATGCATGCGAGTTTGGGGCTTTGTTGTGAAAAACCCTTAAAAGTAATCGGAAGGAGAGAAGAATAAACCCTTTGGGGTTTTATTTTTTTGTCTTTGTTCGCAAGGCGTTATAAATAAATAATGTAATAAACAAACAGACAAAATAATAAATACAAATAACAAACTCAATTTAAAATATATTTAAATACCCCTGGAACTGCTGCTGAAGTGCGGTGCTCTTTGCTGTCTCCTTTCTGTCTCTGTCTCTCTCCATCTGTCTCTCTGTCTCTGTCTCTATCTCTGTCTCTCTCTGTCTCTCTGTCTCTCTGTATGTATCTATATAGCTAGCTAGCTAGCTACATAGCTAGCTAGCTGTCTGTGTATCTATCTTTCATCCTCTTCTTTCTTTAATAATTATTAATCTTATTACTAATAGCCCCAGAAGTAGAGAGGCCTCCTCTGCATGCAAGGCGACTGCATGCAAGCAAATGGGGCTGCATAATAAAAGCAGATAAACAGAAAATATATATTTTATTTGTAAGAAAAGTATTATACTTCTTTAGGGGCAATAACAAAAAAAACAAACAAACATTTAAACAGACTTCTCCTCGCCCCACACCACCGCAAACAAAAACAAAAAACAAAGAAGCAATAATAATAATAATAATAATAATAATAATAATAATAATAATAAATATATAAATAAAAATAAAGAGGCAGCAGAACTCAAGGGACTCCTGCATTCACCTGTTAGCTGCTGTTCATAGAGAATGCTCTTTATATACAAATATATATATATATATATACATTATATATATGTATATATACAATTACTTATCTATATTTATGATATATTTTGTATAAACACCTACTTTTTTATATTTATAAAGGAAGAGTTAACAGTAAAATACAATAAATATATTTCTTCAGGTGTACATAGACCTGTTATCCAACTAAAACTGCATAAGATTTTAAAATAAAAATAATTTTGTTTCTTTTACTCTCGTAGAGGGCCCCCAGTCCTGTCCCTCTTAGGGGGCCCCCTTCCCCCCAAGGATTTAAAAGAGGGGGCCCACGCTCTCGGGGGCCCCTTGGGGGCCCCTTAACTGCATCAATAGGCCCTCGGGGGCCCCTTGGGGGCCCCCTTACTGCATCTGAGAGCTCTTTGGGGGCCCCTTGGGGCCCCCTGACTGTCTCTGGAGGCCCTTAGGGGCTCCCCTTGGATGTTGGGGGCCCTTCGAAGAACTGAGGGGATCTTAGGGGGCCCCTAGGGGCCCCTAGAAACCCTTCAGGGGCCCTTGAGGGCCCTTAGGGGCCCTTTGGACCACTTTAGGGGCCCTTGAGGGCCCCTAAAGTGGTCCCCTGGGGGCCCCTTGAGGGCCCCCTGGGGGCCCCTTAGAAGCCCCTAGGGCCCCGCCCTAGCCTAGGGGCCCCTTAGAAACCCCTAGGGCCCCTCCCTAGGGGCCCCTTAGAAGCCCCTGGGGCCCCTCCCTCGGGCCCCTTGGGGGCCCCTAGGGTTCTCTTGGGGGCCCCTAGAGGCCTCTAGGGAGCCCATGGGGGCCCCTTGGGGCCCCCCGTGTACTCATAGAGGCAGAAGGGGGGGCCCCTAGGTCCCCCCCTGCTTGTTGTTCTTTAAACAAATGAATTAAAGCCTTGTAGAAGACATCTCCATTTACTTTAGCCAGTTCAATAACAGGAAAGCAATCATCACCCTCGAATGTGCAGCAGCAGCAGCAGCAGCAGCAGCAGCTGCTGCTGCTGCTGCTGCAGTCCTTGCTGCTGTTGTTGCTGATGCTGTTGCTACTGCTGCAGCACCCGTTGTCGTTGCCGTTCCTGCTGCTGCTGCTGCTGCTGCTGCTTGTGCTGCTGCTGCTGTTGCAGTTCGTGCTGCTGCTGCTGCTGCTGCTGCTGCAGTCTGTCCCCATGCAGCCAGCAGCAGCATTTGAAGGGGCCCCCTTTGCGTAGGAGTTTTCGTTTGTTGGTTTGCTGCGCTCCTCTCCGTGTTGGGGGGCCCCACTGGGGCCTCTTAGGGGCCCCTGTAGGGGGCCCCCACCCCCGTCCCCGTCTGCTGCTGCTGCTGCTGCTACAGGTTCTGAAGCAACGGTCAGGGTGCTGTTCTTATCTTCGTTTGCACTTGCTGCATCTTTATTATTTAAAGACAGGGGGCCCCCCTCTTCTTTACCACCCAACCCTTGCTGCATTAGGGGGCCCCCGGGGGCCCCTCTTCTTTTGCTGCGCTGTCTCCATTCTTCTGCAGCAGCAAAAAACCCTCTTATAAGCGCAGCAGCAATTAAAAAAGCGTCTTTGTCGCCCTTAAATACACCTCCAGATACTAAGGGTACTCGCAACTGCTGCACAGGGGGGCCCCCAAAGGGGCCCCCTTTGGGGGCCCCTTGGGGGCCCCCTTGGGTGTGCATATCATTAAAGAGAAGAATCAAACGAAGGAGATTCCGAGACAAAACAAAGACTGCAGCAAACATAACACAATGCAGCAGCAAACAAACAATTCTGCTGCTGCTGCTGCTGCTAATGCTGCTAATTGTGCAAGTCCTACTACTAATACTACTGTTGCTGCTGCTACTGTTAGTTCTGCTGCTGCTGCTGCTGCTACTGTTATTGCTGCTGCTGCTGCTGTCGCTGTTAGTGCTGCTGCTTCTGCTGCTGTAACTTCTGCTGTTACTGCTGCTTCTGCTGTTATTGCTGCTGCTGCTGCTGTTATTGCTGCTGCTGCTGCTGTTATTGCTGCTGCTGCTGTTGCTGTTATTGCTGCTGCTGCTGTTGCTGTTATTGCTGCTGCTGCTGCTGTTATTGCTGCTGCTGCTTACGTGTTTGATAGAATTTCTCTGGGGTGTACGCCCACCCCTTGGGGCCCACAACATACGCCATGCCGAAGTTGTTAGGATGTAGGGGTCTCTTGCTGCTGCGAATGAGAGAGAGACAAACAAATGCATCTGTGTCCTTTATATCGAACTGTCTCCTTTCTTCTTCTCTAGGGGTCATACCGTATAAGCAGCAAAAAGGGGTACTCCATAGACTGGGGTCCCCCATTGAAGGGGGGCCCCCTAGACCCTCTACAGGGGGCCCCCTGCACTTCATCATAGCAGTAGCTGTATTAGATTCTCTTGCTGCATTTAAAACAGATAAATGAAGGGCCCCCATCAAGCTCCCCCAATCACTCTTCATATGCAAATCAGCAATCCAATGCGGCCCCTCTAAGGGGCCCCCTAAGGGGCCCCCTGCAGCAGCTCCAGAGGGGCCCCCTGGGGGGCCCCCTGAGGGGCCCTTTGTGGGGCCCCCTGTGGGGCCCCCTGAGGAGCCCCCCGTAGCTTCCTCTGAGCAGCCACCTAGAGGGCCCCCTGTGAAGCCCCCTGGGGGGCCCCCTTGGGGGCCCCTTGTGAGTTCTGCTGAGGGTAGTTTATAGGGTTTGTTTGATATTGTTTTTTGTGTTTGTTTGTGTTTGGGGCTCTGTTGTAAGGCTTGAAGAAAAGCAAGATTAATAGAGCCCCCACCAACATAAAGTTTAGGGTCTCCTGCATTAACAGAGAAGAGGCGTCGGGGACAGTGAGGTGAATAAACAGGAGTAAAAGCAGCAGCTGATGCTGCAGCAGCTGCTGCTGCTGCAGCAGCAGCATAGCCAGGGAGAACACCCTTGCAACCGCAACGGGGGCATCCTCCTTGCTGCTGCTGCTGCTGCTGTTGCTGCTGCTGCTGCTGCTGCTTGTGGTGGTGTGCAAGTAGGCCATGGGGGCGAACTCTTCTGCATTTCAACTCCTCAGATGATGCATCTTGATAGCTATCGGATATTTGCCGCTGCTGCTGCTGCTGCTGCTGCAGCTGCTGCTGTTGAAAAGAGTTTGCTTCGGTGCAGCGCCTTTTGCTTTTGACGGCGTTTGCGTCTCCATTTTGTGTGCCTTCATCACTTGTTACACTCTGCTGTTGCTGCTGCTGCTGCTGCTGCTGCTGCTGCTGGCGACCATAGGTGCTGCTGCATGCATTGCTGCTGGTGCAGTCTCTGCTGCAGCAGCAGCGGCTGCTGCCTGCTGGAGGGGGAGGAGCACCGGGATTAACGTGCAGCAGAAATCGAAGACCGCCAACCTGCATACATCTACGAGAATGAAAGGAGCAGCAGCAGCTGGAGGGCCCCATTTGCAGGCAGGTGTATAGACACTCCAGTGCATGCATGCAGCAGCAGCAGCTGCTGCTGGCCTTCCTTACACGGGGTACAACAACTGCTGCTGCTGATTCAGCTACAGCAGCAACAGCAGCAGCTGCTGCTGCAGCAGCAACAGCTACAACAGCAGAAGATAAAGCAGAAGCAGCAGCGGCAGCAGCAGCAACAGGCGCAGCAAATTCCTAATGAGGCGATGCAAAAAGAAAAGACGTTCTGAGTTTTAATTGTTTTAAGTTTAAGAAACAAAAAACAGGTGTGTAGACCCCTGAGGGCATTCAATTACACTGGGGCTTGGGGTGTATACGCAGCTTGAGGTTTGTTTGGTTAGTAAAATAGCCATTAAATAGGATAAAATTTTGAGATAAATCTATTTAATTTAATTAAATTTAATTTAATTCAATATAATTTATTATTTTCTGCTTCTTTTTTTCTTTTTCTACGCCTCTTCTCCTCAGAATAGTGCTGGGGCTTTGAGCAGACTCCCGCTGGCGACTGCGTTAATTGTGCTGTATTTGAGGGTCTTCAGAGCTTCTTTTTTGTGTTTATTCTCTAATATTATCTTTTATTTTGTGTATTAAAGGTTCTTTCTAAAGAACTGTTGCTGTGAGGGCTTCTATTGAACCCCTTACCCTCCGCTGTAGACAGACCTATGCCTGTCTATATGCATTAGCTGTCTCGCCTGTTATCGATACACCCCAATCTATTTACTCTTCTTTGCACCTGCAGCAATAATCTGCTGCTGCAGCAAACACTGCAGCAAAGCAGCAGCAGCACCAACACCACCAGCACGAGCAGCAGCAGTACCAGCACCAGCTGCAGCAGCACCAGCGGCACCAGCAGCAGCAGCAGCACAAGCAGCAGCAGCACCAGCAGCAGCAGCAGCAGCAGCAGAAGAAGAAGAAGAATGGAGGTGGACGGGGTTTGTGATTGTCCTGATTGGCTGCAGCAGTTGCTGAAAGACCCACCGCAGCCTTTTGCTGCTGAGCTGCAGGCGGAAGCAGCAGCAAACCCCAGCGCAAAAGCAGCAATTGAATACTTGCAGAAGCTTCATGAAGCCAAGTAACACACACAGCGAGGGTTTAGGGTTTAGGGTTTAGGGTTTAGGGTCTAGGGTTTAGGGTTTAAAGTTGAGAAGGCGTGAACCCATTCTTTGTTATGCCATCCTGCTGCTGTTGCTGCTGTTGCTGCAGCTGCTGTTGCTGCTGCTGTTGTTGCTGCTGCTGTTGCTGCTGGTGCTTCGTTGTTGCTGCTGCAGCATATTGTTTATTATTTCTTTCTTTTAAGAGATGACGTGTGTGTTTGAGATGTGTGCATGCGAAGCTGTGCACTAGATGAATATAAAAAAGTAAATATAATTACAATTGTTTGTTTGTTTACAGATTATATAACGAGTTAACAGATGCTTTTGCTTATTGTATACAACTAAGCGACAGCGTAGACAGCTCAAGTACACCTCAGCTGCAGCTGCTGCAGTCTTCTTTGGGTTTACCCCCTCCATCTATCGCCTTAGACAAACAATTTAAACTCTTTCTTTCTTTTGCTGCTGAGCTCGTCGCTCAAGTAGACTCCCTAAGAATATTAAAGCTCTGTGCAGGGCTACTTGCAGATATACGTAAGCTGCTGTTGCTGCTGCTGCTGCTGCTGCTGCAATGCTACAGTGTTGCTGCTGCTGCTGCTGCTGCTGCTGCTGCTGCTGCTGCTGCTGCTGCTGCAGTGTTGCTGCTGCTGCAGTGTTGCTGCTGTTTTTTGTTGCTGCTGCTCTTGCGGATAGTTATTTTGTTTGTTTATTTATATTTATGTTTATTTATATTTATTTTTTTGTTTTTTAATTGTAGTGTATGTCTTTGTCTGTATCAATTTATTCGCCTATAATAAAGAAGACCCCTATCTATATATATATATATTTTATTTATTTATTTATTTATGTCTGTTTGATTGTTTGTTTACATGCTTATTTATTTCTTTATTTATTTATTTTATCTTTTTGTTTATTTATTTATTTAATCTATTTTTTTGTGTATGTATGTATTTATTTTTATTTATTCACCTCTGTATGTATCTATTAATTAATTAATTAATTTATTTATTATTTATTTATTTATTATTGCATGCAGCTGCTGAAGCAGGTTTATTATTTATTGAGAAGCTTAAAGCAGAGACACAAAACAAGAAAAGCTCTCATAGCAAATTATTACAAGGAGACAGCCAGCAAGAGAAGGGGCTGTCTTCTGCTGCAGCACGCTGCTTCTTGCATGCATTAAAGAGCTATTTAATAGCAAAGACCCAGCAGCAGCAGCAGCAGCAGCAGGAAGAGCAGCAGCTGCAGCAGCTGCAGCAAGCACAGGAATTACTTGAAGCAGCTAAAAAGCAATTAAAAGATATTCGCTCGCCAGACCCTATTCTTCATTCTTTTATTCATAGAGCTCAAGCTGAAATAGATAAGGTTTGTTTTACTTTATTTTAATTTAATTTATATTAATCTATTTGTTTTGTGTGTTGTTGGTTGTTTGTTTTGATTATTTCTTCTTGCTGCTGAGCGTTTCCTTCTCTTGTTCTGTTTATTTTTATTTTATTTTTATTTTGTTTTATTTGTTTATTCACTGCAGAAAGCCCCTTTAATTACCGCTGGTTATAGGGCTTTATCAGGGTATAAAAGGGGCTTCAAGGGGTTAGGGGTTAGGGTTTAGGGTTTAGGGTTTAGGGTTTAGGGTTTAGGGTTTAGGGTTTGCGGCCTTCAGGCACGGAACAAGTATGGCGACTTTTGCCGCGAGACGCTCTTCTTCCTCGCATACACCTCCGCCAGTGAGTCTAGGGTTTAGGGTTTAGGGTTTAGGGTTTAGGGTTTAGGGTTTATAGAATAGAGGAGCATTCGTATATTACGGTTTGCAGCAAATGTCTTTGTTTATTTTATCGTTGTTCACTTCACATTAATTTACTCGTATGTTTGTATATCTATATTCATATATGCTTACATTTATTTATTTATATTTATTTATTTATTTATAGATACGTTAAAAGAAAGAGAAAGGTTATTTCTTATTGTACGTTTATTAATATATTCATCTACACATATGTATTTATATTAATTTATTTATATTTATTTATTTATTTATATTTATTTATATTTATTTATTTATAGATACATTAAAAGAAAAAGAACGGTTTGCTCTAGCTAGACAAATTGCTGTTGCTGCTCTCATAGCCCCGGAGGTTTTTAACTTCGGCGAGTTGGTGAGGAGACTGTCTCCTTTTTAATTAATTAATTAATTATTTATTTATTTATTTATTTATTTTATTTATTTATTTTATTATTATTATTTCTTTTTAAACGTTTTGTTTATTTCGTTGTTTATTTTGTTTATTTGTTTGTTGTTTTTTGTTTTTGTCTGTCTTTGTTTTCTTATGCTGCACATATTATATGATTTATTATCTGTATTACATTGTATATATTATATATTTTATTATCTGTATTACATTGTATATATTATATAATTTATTATCTGTATTACATTGTATATATTATATAATTTATTATCTGTATTACATTGTATATATTATATGATTTATTATCTGTATTACATTGTATATATTATATATTTTATTATCTGTATTACATTGTATATATTATATATTTTATTATGTCTATAGTTATATATACATTATATATATATGCATTATATATACTATATAGTCTGTATATACATTACATAATATATATATATATATATATATTTATATTTATATATATATATATATTTATATTTATATATTTATTTTTTATATTTATTGTTTGTTTGTTTATCTGTTATCTTCAGCTGCAGCAAGCGATTGTCCGAGAAGCCTGGGAGCGAAGCCCCTCTTCTTTGTTTGTCTTTGAACTATTAAAAAGTGTAGCAGAAGGCAGCATTAAAAAGTTTAATAAAACTTTTGCCGAGTACGAGAGAGATATTATGCAGTCGGTAAGCTGCAGATACACTCCAATATGTCTATCAAACCCTAAACCCTAAACCCTAAACCCTAACACCACTGCAAACCCTAATCCCTAACACTGCTACAAACCCTAAACCCTAACACTGCTACAAACCCTAAACCCTAAACCCTAACACTACTGCAAACCCTAAACCCTAAACCGTATTCTAGAGACCAGCAGAAAGCTGCAGTAAACCCTAAACTAAACAAACCCTTGCAAACCCTAAACCCTAAACCCTAAACCCTAGTCCATAGACATATAACAAACCACAGGAAACCCTAAACAAGCACCATCAAACCCTAAACCCTAATCTAGAGACAGACAACAAACTGCAGCAAACCCTAAACCCTAAACCCTCATTCAGAGACAAATAACAAGCCACAACAAACCCTAAAAACATATTTCTTTTTCGTCTCTGCATCTCCTTATTGGTTGTATCAGTGCTTGTGCAAGTTTATATATTTAAAATATTATTTTTGTTTGCTGCTGCTTCTTTTGTTTATATTTTATGTATTTGTTTGGTGTTTGTTTTGCGTCTTTATTTTTATTTAATGAAGCTAATAAATAAATATATAAATATAAATAAATATATTTGCTCTTACTTGTATTTATTTTTTATTTATCTCTTAGGAGTTATCTGCTCATATCCCCGCTATACAAAAGAAAGCAGCAGCAACAGCTCTTCTTCGTTTAGCCTTTACTAGCAGCACAGCAGGTGCTGCTGCCCGCAGCAGCAGCGACAACAGCAACAGCAGCAGCAGCAACAGCAACAGCAACAGCAACAGCAGCAGCAGCAGCAGCAGCAGCGGGAGATTAGATCCTTCTCGTGCCCTTTCTTTTGCTGCAATCTCTGAAGCTTGCGACGTCCCCGATAATGAAGTAGAAAAAATTATTTTATCTGCGATGGCTCAGCAATTAATTCGAGGCAAAATAAATCAAGTTAATAAAACTGTTGCGCTGCACTGGGTTAAACCCGTTCTCCTTACAGACGCTGAAAGGTGCCTATACACCCCAAATACGCTTATATATATATATATATATTTATATATATTTATATGCATATATGTTTATATGTATATGTATATATGTTTATGTTTATATATATATATATATATATATATTTATGTGTATATATGTTCATATGTATATGTATACGTGTGTTTTATGTATACATATATATATATATATATATATGTATGCATATGTATATATGTTTATATGTATATACATATATCTGTATATATATATATATTTATATATTTATATGTATATCTGTATATATATATATATGTGTATGCATGTATGTGCATGTGTATGTATATGTATATGTGTATACATATGTATATGTATATGTATATATTTATATATGTATGTATACATATAAATATTTTCTGCTAATTCAGCTGTATATACACCGCAGGAGCTGCAGCAAACTATCCTTCGTTCTGTTATCAACTGTTTGTGTATATATAATATATATATTATATATATATATATAGTTTGTAGACACAGTTTATAGAGAGGATGTGCGTGTATATAACTTTCAATGAAGTGAAGTGTATGCAGAGAGTAAAGCATAATTAAAGACAGCAGCAAAACAAAGAAGACTACATAAAGAAGCAACGATTTGTTGCTGTTTTGTTTGTACTGCATGCAGCATTCAAGCCCTACAGTCAAGGCTATGTAGGTGGGCCTCTTCTGCTGAGGAGCTGCAGCAGCTGCTGCAGCAGCAAACAGCAGAGCTGCTGCGGGCGTGAGGCAGCAGGAGCAGCAGCAGCAAGAGCAGCAGCAAACAGCAGAGCTGCTGCGAGCGTGAAGCAGCAGCAAAAGTAGCAGCAGCAAACTGCTCCACGTGCGCAGTACCTTCAGCTGCTGCTGGCGTAAAGCAGCAGCAGCAGCAGCAGCAGCAGCACCATGCAGCAGCTGCAGCAGCAGCAGCAGCAGCAAACAGCAAGATGTGCTCAGTTCCCTCAGAAACCCGATATATAATACCGTGCAGCCGCACATGCGCATCTCCAGTTATATAATTATATATTTACTTATATATATATGTATATACATATATATATGTATATATATATATATATATTATATACTATATATATGTATATATTATATATATATTATATATAATATATACCTTAGTAGTGTATCTCTCTAAAAGGATGTATTATTTATATATACATATACATATATAACTAATCTAAATAATATATCTATATCTATATGTATATATATATATATATATATATATAGCTATATATATATCTA